GGACAGGCACAAAAGCAATATCCAATACTTCCATCCACCCATGAAAGCGATGACAGGCAGATTTGCATGAATTCTGTCAATGATAAGTTATCACCGCTTGTAAGCAGCTATTTTCAGCATTCTTAGTAGGTATCTCCGACTGTAAGATTTCAGTGGCGATAAGGATGAATGCATGAAGATGTACTCAGCCACAGCTAGGCAACTTCATACGTTGAGAGGAGAAACATGGAATCGACAACGTACCTGGAATATATTAGAAATTCTAATTGCTAAGGGTATATATGCTTAAACACTATAAGTTGTTTGTAAGCGCGAGTTGGTCAAATAGCGATTTTTCCAAACACTGCTGGGAGGAGGGGGGATCTGAGCTGACCGCGGTTCTATGATTTGAGCACCAGCAGTGCCAAATGCATTTCCAATCAATTTGCGCTCATGACAAACAATGTTTCAGGAGCTGGTACTCTCCACATGCTGCCGCATAAACCTCCTAAATTGATCGCACGCACGGACAGGTCAAATAACGAATGACTCCCCAAAGACCAGATTTCACTAAGCATTTTACCGTCCCTTGCTCCCAGAGACCCTTAGGTAAATAGAATGAGTACGAAGTTCGATATTTTAATTTTTACTCATATTTTAAGCTTCCCATAAGAAAGGGCCGTCTGAGCTAAAAGAAACTTCTGGGTAAATTACGCATTGGCACCGACTGTTCAGAAATTAGATGTTATGCGGACTCAAACTTTACCTTATGTACATGCATGAAAGACCAATTCATGCAGCATTCTCACGTTTCTTAACTGTCGAGATCCTCCTGCGATAGTCCAAACTAATCTAAAGTTCCTCCAGTGATTCTTGCTCGAACAGAGATCAAATTCTATAAAGCGATGAAGAACCCCTATTTTCTCCTGAGTGACAAAGTCGCAGTAACATGTGCTATGAGCAAGGAGTGCGCTGGCGAAAACCGTTCCTGTCAGCAATGCTGGTTGTCGCAGATTAAGAACTTATTCAGGTATTTGACTGTGGAATGAACATGAATGTGTGGCAGGCTTCGCTTGCTGGAAAGTATTCGATGAAAAGGCAAAAAGCGTTGTTCCTCAACGCGCCGTTGCAATGACGGTTCTTCCTCGGAACAGACGCAGTGTATGCTGCTATTCGTGTTGGCAGAGCGTGTTGTGTTGTTCATCACGCTGATCAACGGTGAGGTTTGTCGTAAAGTTGTGTAGAGATCGACTACGTGAAATTCGTCGGCAGCAGTGGAAAGGAGGTCCGGTGAGGAACGAACGGGCGCGAGGTAGTGGCCGTCTGATGATGAGGCACAGCAGTTGCTGTGTTAATATTAGACCATCCACGAATAGCCGTCGCTGCCGTGATAATACTACCGACGGCGGCTAATGCCCCGTTCTCCCTGTGTCAGCCCGGCCTGAGTGAGACGAGCGAAGCGAAGCGGTGGATGATGATGACAGGAGAGGATCGCCGCCTCTGCACACGCGCGCGCATTCGCCAGCAAAATGCCTCCTTTTCCTCCTCCTTCCTCTCCGAAGCTTATGTTTCTCGGGATTCTTGTCGCGCCTAGCCGTTATAAAGTTTTCCCCGCACCCCGCGCCCTCAATAATAGCATCGACCAAGCCAGGCCAGCAAACGCGCTGCTCGCAGTCGCTCATTCCGATCGTTAGTTGTCGGTTTCGCCTCCGTCTCTGTCACTCGGTTCGCGCGTTTCGTCTCGTCCTCATTTGAACTCGTTTACGGTAGACTATCAGCGGCGTCACCTGTACCCCGGAAAAGCACAGCAAAAATGGACGCAATCAAGAAGAAGATGCAAGCGATGAAAATCGAAAAGGACAACGCCGTTGATCGGGCAGATGCAGCGGAAGAAAAATCAAGGCAGATGCAGGAACGAATCGAAAAGGTAAACAGCCCTGAGATTTTCACTTTATCCCTGAATTTTGCCTCCTCTAAAATTTGCGGTTCACTCATTTTGTTTTATTCGTATCATCTTAGATTAAAGTCATTTTCTCCCTAGCGAAATAACCTCAAGGTTTTCCAAGACTTGACGAAACGGTACTTTTGTTTAGAATTTGAAGTTTGTATCCTTCGTTTGAAATATTCCATCTCCCTCTCTGCATCACTCATTTGCGATATCTGATTTCTCTTAAATTGGCTGACCTCATTGCATTCCTTCTGTAGCAGATTCAAATTCTTAATTTGCGGTAACAATAAGTAAACGGTATATCGCTAAACTTTTAACGATTCATTTAACACGAAATTAATCATGACTAGCGAACAAGGATTCACCTATGGATAAACTATACATGATATTTTAAATATGCTAGAGAACACCGGTTTTTTAATGTAGTCGGATGGTATTTTCGAGGTTTCTTAGGCGGCTAGAGGCAAAACACGGAGTGATCATGGCAAGAGAATCCAGAGATGCCACTCGGTGGATATTAAATGGATATTTCCTTGATCTCTGCATCTGCCGCATCTCACAGAGCTGCTCTGAAGTAGCCAAATCAAGAAGCCAAAGAGCTATCGTTTTACACTTATAGAAGCCAAATAACTGCGATTCACGTTAACTGCTGCTCCGTTGTTGGCCACATCTGTCTTTATAAAGTACTTAACAGTAAAAGATACTTTTCGATATGCGAACCGTAAGCCCTGAAGTCAGATAGGACTTCCGGCTTCAGTTCAGCTTCTGATTTGCAGCAGATAATCATATGAATCTGATGAATGCGAACTGTTCAGAAATTTCGGACCCTGTCTTTGCATAAATGACTACACACACGATAGAAAGCTAGCGTTGTGTCTTGTAAGCATAAAGCTTACAGTTTTAAAAAACGAAGCTACAAATACCGTGATAATATTTTATAGCCCTAACCATTCGAACTATAATTATCTCATGCTTGGCACCGAATTAGGAGTCTTAGATATTATTTCAATCAATGAGAAACTGAATGAGTTTCAAATGTTATTTGAAACTCCAATTACAGAATATGTTCGTATGTCCAACGGTGTAATGCATGACGCATTATCCAGCACTTAATTTTTTTACTTTAGCATTAAACACAAATCGGTGATAACATGAAGATCTGCCTTTGAGTAGAGTAATTAAAACATTAAATTCAGAAAATGAATCTTAACAAGAAATTGTCCTGTCCAACATTAAATTCAATGAAGTGAGCTATTAATGAATTAAACTAATAAAATCAATTAAATAGCACCCGTTCTTTTTATAGCTCGAAGAAGAGCTCAGAGACACGCAGAAGAAGATGATGCAGGTAGAAAACGAACTGGACAAAGCCCAGGAAGAACTGACTGCCGCGAACATTCAACTCGAGGAGAAGGACAAGAAAGTCCAAGAAGTATGTGCCGTATCGCTGTACAGTGGTTACGGTGACACGGCGATCGTTGTGATTTTCGTTCTTCTGCTGCCGTTCGCTTCAGTCGTGCCTTACCTACCGCCATCCGTTGCCAGTCAACGTTTCGACCAAACCTGAAATGTAGGTAAAGTCCTCAACAGGCATTTTGTTGATGTAGTCTGTGGCGTTAGTATTTGGTCCTTTCGTTCGCGAATGTTATACATCGATAGTACTGCGAGTTCATTTCATTTCTCCATCACACTCGGTGCATTTTCAGTGTCAAAAAAGAAACTTTTAGTAATGGTGAAAATAAGGCCTTTATTAGTATCTAATCTCATTTCATGAGCCCTTCTTCACATCGATAAACCCTCCTATTTTAAACCGCTGTCGTTTTTTACTCTCTACAGGTATTATGTAATAGTTATTTTGCTGCCATATACATGAGCGGGTGCTGGAAACAGTAAGAAGCATCTTACGGCACAGCATTAATAAATACTGAATATTTCACACCTTATTCGGTTAACCTTTTTCTCCGGTTGTGTTGTTAATTTGCTCGGTGCTCATATCCGAGTCTCATTATTCGAAGGTTATTATTAAATGGAAATTCTCAGAATCGTTTTTCTCTGTCCTCTGCGCCACACTCGTACATCTGCACACAGCTGGTGGGTGTAAATCAGCAACGGCAGCGCCTAGTGCTCCCTTTCGTCGTAGTGTTGGCTCGCTATGAGTTATACAATGCCACTCGGTGAATTCGCACATGACACACGAACAGATGCTCGCCCGTAACAACGGCCAGCCGGCAGCTCGTTGTCGGCCGGCAGACGTTTGTCGTCCTCGTCCTTGCCCTCGCCGTGGTCATCATAGATCTGGAGTCTGCGTGATGTTCGAAAACAGCCGAAGCGGTTGTAAGCATCAGTTGCCAGCTTTACAGATGCCGCAACGTGCGCCGTTCTCCGTCGAGCCTCACTCGCCCTCTGTTTCCTCCCTACGACCGGAAAAAGTTTCCTCCACAATGAACACGGACGACGGCGACGACGGCAACGATGACCAAAATCTCACCCGACTTACTTCCTACCTCAGGAAGTCAAGAATTGCCGTTGTGAACAACTATTCACTTGCCGTCGATCGCTCTTCGACTGACGTTGACCCTTGCTTTTCCCGAGACCTTGCGAATGTCAACAAGGATTTGGAATCAAGGCGCCAAACACACGCAAAGCCGACGACGTCTAAAGGCGCTGAGGATTATGAAAGACTCCGATGTCCCAGCCGAAGTACTGAGGATGTGGCGCGGCATGAGCGGAGACGTCACCACCGCCTAGACTTTCCTGGCGTTTGCTTCTCGGCCTCTCTGTTCCAGTCGAGCGCCATGATGAAGTACTGCATCATCGGCAACGAGCTGCACAACATTGCCAACGTCCACATGAAGCGGGTAAGGTTCCATGGACATCGGCGTTTGTCTTGTTACTCGTTATGAACCTCATCCTCTTTCACTGTTCTCCCGTCGGACGTCAATCGGAATCTTGGATCGCTCTTCCTCCAATTCTGAGGGCATCCCATAAATCACAAAGGCGAAAGCTTTTATTGCCGGCATGACGTCAGAGGTTTTCGTGATATCTTTTATACTTTGAGTTTAACTTTAGTGTCGTATGCATAATTGAGTCATAATTGGCAGTGACTGGAAGTCTACCGTATTCGAGTTGCAAATGAGTAAGCGAAATTTTGGCCACTAACATTTTGTGCAGCTTGATTTGAGGAAACGGTGACATCTGCGACAAAGATTGACGTTTATTGTCTTAATGTTTCACGAACCTTTGAAACTATTGATAAAAAATATTTTGTGTTCTTGAAAGATTAGACAAGCAAAAGAAAGACAATGAAATTAACTCTGACAGCAGAATCATAATTGACATTGAAGTTCATTTCTAAGTATCAGAATATTTTAAAAATATTGACCTCTGAACTGCGGCTACTGCACGCTGAAACTAATGGTTAATTCTAAATTTCCGCCTGCAATTTAAACAAGCGCGGAAAATTGTAAGATGAGTTACGAGCGGTTAATGAAAGGTCTGTGCATAAATGAGGTCAGAAGTAGATTACATCAGAAAGAACGCTTCTTCGGATATTTCTGTTTTCTAACTTTTCATCGTTCGTATTACCTATATTTTACGAAATTCAAGTCGAAAAGACTTCTATATCTTGAAAGCGAAGATGGCAGTTGCTTTAAGTCTAGTAAATGACAA